TACCTATGGCACTGTTCACGGAAATGCACATACTAGAACTACATGTAGCTTACAGTCTACAATATACAAACTGATGCTGAAGATTGCTTCAAGGTAAATAAACCAGAAGTGTGATTTATTATTGACAGACCTAAAGCACTGTGGGTTCTAAGTGGAAAAGGGGATGTAAATACGATAAGCACTTGGCGAGCAAACCCAAAGTGCGACCGCACTTAAAATCTGTCAGCACAAGCATTTTCTAATGCAATGATTGAAATGCAATGATTGAAATTAGATTTTTTGATAGATTCCGACATTAACGTTATTTTTTATACATTTAACTTCAGACATAAAGTTGATTTCTTTTTAGTGGCTTATTAGATAAATTTATCGCCTGTCGTGACAATGTCATTCATTCATTGTATGTCTTGGTCAAATCCCGGATGTCAAATCCATACGAACGCGTCTTAAACATTTCATGAACCTACCAGATAATTCTAATCTACTTGACTTCGAGTTCTTTCTGTAACGTGAATGAATGGGCTTCACCTCAGTATCAAAGGCACTGTAGAGTGATAATTAGTTAATTGAGACATTACTCAAGAGGTAACCACACGAGGTTTAACGGGGAATCGACCCTTCATGTCCAAACGCATCACAAAGAGAAGAAGACCTTCGAATACTTGAATTTTTATTCCTGTCATTCATTAGGCGCAAAGAAAGGATTAGTAAAAGGAGAAGCGCTACGCCTTCTATGATTAAATTCGTCACGCACCACGTTCAGTAAAAACTCACAACGTTTCTAAATATGCATCAAGAAGATGGGACTTCAAGATGAAATTTAAGAAAAATATATCTGCATTTGTCTCTCCGCGAGTGAAAGGTTACTTAAAAGCCTTCCATGGGATTAGGCTTGAGGTCAATTGAAAACGTTCCCCCGTCCGTCGGTCACCTAAGAGGCCGATAGAGGCTTTCTATTTGACTTTCCACCAAAATGCTGTGTCGTAGGGCTTCTGTAAACTCCATGCTGGTTTTCTTGCCAAATCCCAAAGCTGTATTTCTCTCATTCCATGCTTTTGAATTGATCTAGACAGCCATCTAACACGGTTGCTTTTAGTCGTGCACGATGATCTTTTTTCGATGGCTTCATTGTAGCGAATGCGGAATGAAACGTCAAAAATACGTAGTAAGGAACCGGTCATTTATTAGAGGGGGGTGAGTTGGTGCAAATGGGGTGGGGGGTTC